AGTACAGAGGCTGTGTTGTGCGCCAACCGCCAATACGTGTGCTCTGCAGATGCCTCTGCGAAGTTGTGTTCGCTGCAGCCAAGCTTTGCTCGCCGGGCCGTGAAAGAGTAATCAATCATCTGCTGCAAATCAGACGAGGTGGAATTATCGATTACCTATGAGTGTATGCGCGTATGAAGCGGTGAGCGGCTCGATAACACGCGGAGTAGATGACTAAGCACGGGTGTACGCCCTGGCAGGGCGAAAGCAGAGTCAGCGCGGCGGGTTCCCACATTCTCCCGAAAGTAACTCTATTTGCTGCTCTCTTGATGATTATTGTACGTTTATGGTGTCATACTTTTTTCTACATTTATTCTATTTGTTCTGCATTTCCTGATCTTACAATCATTTCTACTTTATAAGTTCGTGTATTAATTGTTACGCGAAAACTTCAACTCCTATGAGCTACGGTATAAATAACTGATATCTGACCGATTGCCTTTGTTCTTCAGTGGATAAAGTGGAGGCAGTTAATCTGGTTAGCATGTGGCTTCGCCTTCTCTTCACATGTCTATGCATGGGATCGCATTACCGATCACCGTTTCCTCGCTAAACGTTCTTGCAATCCCAGGTTGCTTAGACATATTCAGTCTGCGTATAGTACTTGTTTTAATAACCCGGTCATTATCTATTTCTGATTGCCAGAGAGCCTGGACAAGAAAAAGAAAAACATTGCATGCACAATGGATCGCAGAACAATGTTTCAATTCTGCGCCATCTTCATTTCGTTTGTACTCCTGATGCTTTCATATCATTTTTTCCGAACCTCAACAACGCTCCTAAATGTACGCCGCAATGTCCAACTTTTGAACAGGACAGCCTCCCAAATGGAATTCCAGATCTATGTAGTGGACAGCGGTCGCACAGAAGTAAAACGCCAAAACCTTCCAAGTCTAGAGAATATAAGTTGGCCGGAGAGGGAATTTCTACCTGTTCCAATGGGTGCGCCAGGAAGTCGCCAATTGCCCCTGGAATCCACATTCAGTCGTGGTCAGATGCGCACCTTGTGGAAACTGTTCGGTATATTCATAACTGCGATGGAGGAACTCGGTTTCAGTGACCGATGGATGCTCTACGGTGGCACCCTGCTCGGCTCATATCGACACCACGACATGATCCCCTGGGATGATGACATTGATGTTCTTGTGGATGTGCAGGTTAGAACCGCGCTAAGGAAAAAGATTCACAGACTGGCACCCGACATCCTTCTTTATGAGGATGAAATCAAGGACAGGATTTATGCAAAGTTAATTCAACCGAGCGATTCATCTCAGGACGCAAACGGCAGTCGCAAACTGAGTTACAAGAGCAACGGCTGGCCTTTCGTGGACATTTGTTACTATTCCTCAAGTGAGACGCATATACGAGAACTTGGATGGTCTTATGGTAAGTTTTATAGGTATGCAAAAACTGATGTGTTCCCACTGCTGTTCAGACCCTTCAACAAGTATTGGGTTCCGACGCCAAGAAGCACATTTTCTGTTTTGCTGCAAACTTACGGCCGTGATAATCTTTGTTCCGGTGTATTCTTCTCTCATGTCTTTGAGTTACCAATATTTACTCGGACGGTGCGATGCAAAAACCTGATGGATAGATATGCCTTCGTGGAACACACCCCACTCTACGACACTGTTCAGAACAAGGACGGTAATCAGGAGGATTTGGATTGGGTCCGTGAGCAGCTGGTTCGAGGCGGAAAAATCATTCACGAAGTCCATCTGGTTGCACCTCGGAGGGAATTTAATGTGGGGAAGTCTAATACACGACCACTCCTCCATTTTTAGAATGGCTATTCTAGTGTACTGTTCAAGAGACGCTGCAGCGAGCTGTAATTTGGTGCCGGCTAACGCTAAATAGAAAGGTGAACTGCAAAATTATGTTAATTTGTTTTGTCACCTTAACTTTTCAAGTTATTTTTACTGAAAAGTTGAGAAGCATTCTTCATTCTTTCAAGTAGATCTTCTCTTCCTTGAATTAGAGCATTTCTTCTCACATTAGATTAAATTTGCGAGAAGACCTCCTCCCAGGAATTCAGGAAAGGAGAAAACCTTGGTAAGAGGTGTATCTCGTATGGAAACGTGTCGTAGAATTCTTGAATGGAATGGTGGAAACGAACGTTGTCCATAACAATGATGTATTCCTCCTCGTCGTCAAGACTATCTAGAAGGGCTGCCAAAAATTTTTGGAATGCAGTTCCATCTAGGCTACGAAGCACTGCTTCGCAGCTAATGACGTTAACTACATTGACAGTGAGGATCATAGTTATATTAGGTCCTTGACTGTTTTGGGTCGTAATGTTAGGGGTTTCTTCACGTAAAGCCCGGTCGCGTGAAGCGCAATTCCAATCCGGTTTTGATGTCTACAGATCCGGTTTAGGGGGAAAAAACGGTAGCTTGCGCAAGCAGCGGCGCGCACAGCATGCTATCGATCAGCTTACAGGCAGCAAACGCAACTTGCAGTCACATCAATCGATAATTCAAAATTTAAGCTGACTGTCAGCCGCCGAGTTGCAACCAATTACGCCGGTAGCCAAAAGCTGATTGGCTCGATGGACCTAGCTCACAACAGTTCGTTGCCCTAATTTTTTTGTAACTGTTGCAGTCAAGGACTTGCGCTGACTTGCTTTAACGTGCTTGTCTGAGTAAACTCTCTTTCTCTCTGTCTGTCTTACGGGCTCTTGGGTTCGGCATTCGTGTTAATTAAGTACCAGGCGCGGGTCCTAATTCTATTTTAGCATGTTGAAACAAATATTATTTTATTTTATTGAATATATCTTGATCACTTCCACCACGATTAAATATTCAATTGCGCTCACTAACCAAGAACTAAACGTTTGATCACAAACTAAGTTAAGCAGTTGGGCGGAAGGAATATATATTTATAGGGCCATACAAGTCAGTTTTGCACTCCTTTTATATGCTTCACCATCGCCTACATGCGGTTCAAGTTGCCTTTTTGTTCTCTAATTACCTTGGTTTCTATAGTAGGGATGGCTAAAGATTCAATAGCTCACCTTTCAAAGATTTATATTTTGTTATCAACAACAGCCTACTTAAATACTGCAAGTAGGCATTATAGCCTAATTCCATTTATGGCTGTACCAGCGGCTGGCCTACTCCGGCGATTCCCAACCTTAAATTCGTTCTAAGAGAACCCACGGCCTGGTCATGTCACTACCTATGGTTTTTGCACCTGCTGTCTTTTGTTCCCCGGTGTAATCTACCAATCACCGTCATCAACTGTTCGGGTGTCAAGTAACCCCCACTCCAGTCACATTTCCACAAAGTGGGTCTTCCTCCTCATCTGCTTGCACACGATTACTAAAACACTCGGCCACCCACGCGTACAGATGACTTGCTGTCACCATTCAGAGGTCCCCATTTGCCCTTTTCCCATAGTCAAATGACCCCTACATGCCGATTTCGTGCTGCAGACGGTGTGAAAATGATTATTTTTAATCATTAGTCACTTATAAACCCTACCAGAAACCCCGTTTCTGCTACTGTTTCTTACTCACGTCTCTGATGATGAATCCGCGATGGATGTCGAAACGTCAGGCAAATAAACATATTGTTCCAGCGCTCGAGTCTTCTTCTTCTTCTCACTTATGAACCCTGCCCAATTGTCCCTAAGTTTATTATCCACGCAAATGTACGCACCCAATGACGATTGCCGAAAACATACTTTTGCCAAATCGAATTCTCAAGCCATCGAGGTTGTTACTGGCCCGCGCACTCCCCACATGACTAACTGCCCTGCTCTGGGAAATTTTAAGTAGGTGATATGGGAACGGCAAGTCTCTACGCTTATTGATAGACTGCGGACCTCTAGAGGATAAAGCAAACAGCTCACGACTGACGCGTTTGTTACCTCTTGGGG